GGAATTGGTGATTGCTTTTGCTTTCTAAGTAAAAGATACCCTCAAAATTGCTGAGAATAAGATGCACTTTCTTTAAGGGTTTTCTCCCCTGGAACATTAAAAAGTCATCTCATCTCCTGCACATACAGGATGAAGAAATACGTTAAAAATGTCCCAATCGTCAGCCACAAAAACACAGACTATTACCAGCTAAAAACCAACATTATTCCCCCTGCGTGGTAGAATTTGACACTTCTGGGTACTGGCAGCATTAACAGGGGAATTAAAAAATGGCTGCGTAGAAACGCAAACGTTCCCTTTGCTCTTGCTTTAGCATTTGCAAAGGGGGGGAGAAAACAAAACCCTCCCTTTATGTTCTTTTTTACATGGGAAACGTTAAGAAGTCATCTAATCTCCTGGAACTAGCACTAATGAATGAGCAAACACGAGATCTGGGGAGAGAAATGAAACTCTAAGCTGGGCTTTCTGTAGCGCGATTCAAAGTCGTGACACATTGAAAGCCATAAATGCATTTTGCTTGAGTCTGTAGGATTCATAACGAGCAGCTTGAGGGGCAATCTGTGCAGCAGTGAGACACGGGCTGCCTTTTGAGAGATGCTTGAGCATTGGTGGTTTTCTTGGTGATGGGGATGCGTTAACTGCATCCGGAGGCTCAAGCCCACCGTGTAGAGCCGCACCACAACCTGCCTCTGTGGTCACTTCTGAAATAGCCAGTCACTCCTGTACCAAAGCTGCTCAACCGGGGCTTTTCTTTGAGAGTTTGTATCCCAGGGAGCCTCCAGCATTTTTGAATGCCAACTTTGTACCTGGTGATTTACTATTGGCACGGCGGGATGAAGCGCTGAGACAAGCAGGCCTTAGCAAAGCCCCATCCTGCAGCTAAGTAGCCAGAGAGCCAGGTTAGTGTGGTCTATTCTTACTGCCACCCATCAGGTCACTTCGGTTTGCTGGCATTTCAGACGCCTTCTTACTGTGAAATGATTTGCAAATAGGGACCAGTGTCCTCAAAGAGGCATTGCAGCTCATGAGGATGTCACAGAAGCTATTTGGTGCCTCCCAACACCTGAAAATGCATGTTCTGCACCAACTGGTGCTCCGTACATGCTAATGGCATCATCTCCAGGCGTGTTTAGTGTGTAGTTTCCCAAAGCAGGCCTGTAAGGTGAGAAATTGCATCCAGACAGACTGTTGTCTGGCGGGATGGGGCAAGCAAAGACAGGGAAAGTTGTTCTCAGAAACTGGTCAGAGTTTGAAGGCAGGAGGGAGGCCAGGAGAAGGTCTGTGCCATGGACTGAATTGAGCAATTGTGGTTGGGTAGCCTCAGCTGAAGGAGTTGTTATTTTCATGTCTGGTAATAAATAGAATAATGGACAAAAAGCTGAATTCCCTGCATGAAGTCTGAGTAAATGGGTTTGGTGCAGTGGTTTACTGCAGGATTTGTGGTTTGGGACCTCCTTCCAAGCTGTGAATCAGCACACAAAGCCAGATCCAGGGCCACTTGCATGGCTGTGAGGACTGAGGGGTATCCCTGGTTTCTCTGTTCTGCCTCCATCAAACACCCTTTGTGCTCTCCCCATCGCCTGTAGCGTTGCTGTTACCTTAGGGTGGTTGTTACCTCTTCTTCCATCCTAGGTGAGAGCATGCACAACACGCAAGAGGTGGACTCCACCACCAGCTCATCCCTCTGGATTTTATTGTCCTCTGATAAAGCCTCTCTGTTCTCTGTGTTAAACCCTGGTTTAAAAACCTCTTTAATAATAACTCAGCCTCTGACAGCAAGCACTTAGAAGAGCTGTCCTCCCCATTTAGAGCTGTCAGCCATAGGTCAGTGGTGGTACCACTAACATAACCCAGGTGTCTGCTCTCTCATTTCCAGACACTAACCGCTGGGCAGCAGCTCTCCCTGCAGACAAGCTGCAGGACAAAGTAACTCCTTTAAAGCAGCATGATGGTCCCTTTAAAAACATAAATCGTCCTTTGCAACATGCCAAAGGAAAAGCTGTCCTTTGGTTCTGGTGCTCCTAACCAGGCTGTTCTTCACTCTTGGGACTATATTGGTGTTCTTCTAGATATGATGTGGTATGATATGAGATGATAGAGATGATATGGTAGAACAATAGAATAGGAATAGAAGAGGAACAGAATAGAAAGAGAACAGAATAGAACAGAATAGAAATGTTAGTGATGCTCTGTAATACTTCTATTACACTGTGGAATATTGGCAGGACTTAAACCCCTTCTCTGCATCACAGCTTCTCTGAAAATACAGTGCCCTTTATTATTGCATTTGTTATTTGTTATTGTATTTTGTCATTTGTTATTGCAGCATGAATTAGTCCCTTAAAAACACAGTATCTTCTGAGCCAGCCCGCATCATGCACAGTCTCTCCTGCAGCAGCGGTCTGGTTTGCTCCTTCTCAGCTTAGGGCAGAGACTTTCCGAGGCACCAGCTGAATTCTGGGGGTCAGCCCCATATAGAGCCTGGTTGTGCCACACCAGCAGGCTCAGGCTTTCAGGGAGTCCCACATCCTCAACACCAGTGGGTCTTTTCTAGAGTGCAAGGCAGCAAAGCCTCCAGGGATGGCTTGGGAAGCCACATCTGTAGCAGCAGGGTGTGTGGGAGAGCAATGCTCCCTTGTGCTTTCTGGCTGCATCATTTTCTAGGAGTTAATAGTGATACCCACGTGTCCTGCACGTGATTCAGGTGCCCATTTATCTGTGTGCATGCAACACCTTTTCCTTTTTATTCCCCCCCTTATTTTAATGCTAAGAGCACTTAGGGCCCTGGTGCTTGCTTCTTTTGACACGGGTTTTCTTCCCCTTAGGAAAACACACACGTTGTTTCCTCAGAAGAGCACTGTGCTGAGTTCTGCCTTCCCCAGCTACTCCTCCTCCTGCAGCCCCAGTCTCCAGCTGCTTGCAGTGGCCACAAGGCAGGGAGGAGCCAAGGTCTGATGAGTAAGTTTCAGTGGAAAACTTTGATTTGTTGCATTTATTTGTTGGATCATTCCCTTTCAGAAGTGGTTGGGGTTTTCAGAAGGGGAGCAAGCTGCTTGCTTTGAGTGATCAGCTCTATTATAGTTACTCCATTTATCTCTGTATGTGCATACTAAATGAGGTTCCAGCCTAATGAGCTCCTGAAATTTAATTGAGTGCTATAGCTGTTACTAAATCTCTGCAGAAATCAGACCAAACTAAGATGAGACAGATATCATGAGATCACCCAGCAAAACCTGTCCCTTCTCATTACCCACTGTAGGGTTTTTTCTCCCATCAGAGGTTACATGGGCTTTAAAATCATCTGCTTCATTATTAATGAGAAAATTGACTTATTTTAATCTGTGTATTATTTTAAGGCTTTGACAAGCAGTCAAACCACCCCGCTAATCCCTAATCCCTGGATAATCATCACCCAGCAATTTTAAACTGTGGTCTCAGAGAATTACAGGAGGAGCCAGGCATAAAGCAGCCGGAGTCTGCACATCAGATGACTTCCATTTTTATTAGCATTACTAGCATTATTATTGCTATTCTTATTTAAAGCACACCTCTGGCATGTGTCACCAAAACCTCTTCCCCATCTGCTCCGCATAGAGAGTTTCAGGAAGGAGGCAAAGCCAATCACCCAAAGCAGAGCAGTGTTGAGGGCGAGTTTAATAGAACACAAATAATTCTTCCTTTAAAGAAATCCCATCGTTTGCCACACGTTTTAAAGCACAGAAAGTATTGCCTAACCCCTAACCGCCAACGAGCTCGGAATACTGGATCCCTTTATTCTCTGGGTTTAAGAGTTATAATTAGAACCTTTCCTATAGGGTTTTCCATATCTCCATGTAATTCTAAAAAAATCCCTCTTGTCTTTCCCAATAAACCAAAGCATTGTTACCCAGACTGGAGGCAAACAATTACAGTGAGAAATGGAGACACTGGGGTTTGAAGAGGCTTGGGGGGTGGGTTTTGAGGCAGAAAAACTCTCCAACTAGCAGTGTTCTCACTTAGCATCACTGTTCTCCCTGCAGCGTGGCTGTCCACACTTGGGCAGGCTCTGGAGGCAGAGGGTGGCTCTAAAGAAAGCGAGATGGAGCTGGCTGTAGACAGCAGTGAGCACATGGAGAACACACACATGGCAGAGCCTTCGTAGATGGTCATGTGCAGTGAAAAGAGCAGAGAAATGGCCCTCATCATGGCAAAATAAGACCTGATTTGGGGCAAAAAGTATGTCCAGCAGGCCAAGGGGAAACTTGGTCTCATAGAGCCTGGCTATTGGAAAAGAGCAGGAGAAGGAGACCCCGCAGCAGCAGCCACAGGTAATGCAGCCGGGTTTACATCTCCCAGAGGAGTTCCATTGCTGGGAGATGTCTGTGTAGCTCTATTTAAAATAGCTTTAGTAGATGAGTTCTCCTTGGGATGATGCATCTCATCTTTCTCTCCCTAAGAAGGAAGCCTCTTTCCTTGCTTAAAATCAGAGGATGGTAAAGGAAAAACTTATTTCTTTTTCTTCCTAAGACAGAAAAACTGTTATTAACACCCATGTCCAGGAGTGTGTTCCTCATTTATAGCCCCATGGTTATAACACACTCAGGTCCACATTAATATTTCAGAATTCTTTCATTTTATTGCAGCTTATTTTTCTTCCCTCCCACCCTGCATGTCAAAAGATGATTGATACGTGTAAAACTGGGCCTTAAAAACACAAGTCATTGCCTGAGGTTCTTCCTATAATCAAAGCACATGCCCACCCATAGCTAATTAGACATTAGCCTAATGTCAACTGATTGATTTAGAGCAGTCCTACCACCCACCCGAAAAAGAGCACGGAGCCCCTGACAGCAGCAACACAGGGAAAGTGGCACCTGAGGGAGGGGGAGGCTTTGCCTTTAAAAGCTCTTGATGTAAAACACATTTGTGTGTGTTTATGTGAAGACGATGCAAAGCAGTTTTTTCCTTCTCTGTACTGAACAAAAGGATCTGGTTAGCAGGAAAAAGGAGGTAAGGTCCATTCCAGACAAATTTAGGAGGTTTAAGCTGTTGGATGAGTTAAGTGGAGTGGAGCGTTGTCACCGTGCTAAGAGCAAAGGTCTCTACCCCAAGGTAAGACCTGGCTGGTTTGCTGGGTCCAGTCTTACATTTGGCTATGATTTAGATATAATTTTTCAAAATCCTTTGCATTTTTTTCTTTTCCTTTATTTTTTTCCCCCTTCTTTTCCCTCCCCGCTCTGGATTTATGGGTCAGGAACCCTCCAAAGTTGTCCTGATGGATTAAGCAGCAATAAGTTGTATCGAGTAAATTAAAAATGAAATAGTTACAGCTGTTGGAATAGTCTCAGGGCTGCAGGATGTAAAAGACTTTCTACCCTCAAGGGGCCTGGAAGTAATCTGTGAAGCACCAGCTGCTTCAATAAAGACAGGCTGAGTGAGGGCTGGGGTCCTGAAGGATGGAGAGAGCATCCAGTGCCATTGGGCCTGAGTATGGTTTAAGGGAAACCAAGGGAGCAGCTGCCTTCCAAGCTCTGTTTGCTCCCAGTATCCCCAGACAGTTTGGGCCAGTCCCAGATTTAATGGAGCAGAAAGGACAGGGATGGCTGGGAATAACACATGGAGGAATTTTTCATCCCAGCTCATCTCCAAACAGTGCCCATGAGGTGTCTTTGCTGTGTGCACAGTGATGTACCCCTCTCTGCTCCCGGCACCACATTCTGCCTCTGAATTACTGCCCTGAGTAATGTTTAAGGTGGAATTTGTCTCTGCAGATGAAAGGAGCAGCTGAATGCTGTCTGTGGTGCAATATTCCCTTTAACCCAGCTGCATATGGGGAGCGAGAGGAGGAGGGCACATCCTCAGCAGCAGAATCTGTGCAACTTCACATTTCTCAGCTATAAACCTTTCAATAGCTGGAAGTAAATCCTTCAGCTTTCTACTAGAGCTCAGCCTCTGCAGCTGCAAATTTATTTGGCAGGCAGAGAATGGGGCCAAAAGAAGTAAATACGAGTGATGTGAGTGATAGTGCTAGAACATTACGCAAGCTCCCACATGGCTGCAGCAATTCCCAGGCTGCTAATTCCCTGCTGGAGCTCTCCTACCAAAACTGGAGGTGTCCTTCCCAGGGTGCTGGGAAGGGAGGGGGATGCGGGAGAAGGTGTTTCTGGACAGGGGGTCTGCAGAGCTCAGCTCCAAGTGTGGTTTTGGGATACAAGGCTGCTCGTGTGTGTTGGAGAGGTGCAAACAGAGATGATGCCCTGCTCGGGTTTGTTTATGGTCTCACATGTATAAGTACTATAAATCTATTCCTGGCTACTGGAGTTGGGCTGGAAGTTCATCCATGTATTCACATTTTATAGGTGCCCAGGTAAAAATCAGTGTGGTCTGATAGCCCGGTGATGTGCGTGCTGGGCTGGGGATGAGGTGGATGCCAGTATTCCCACTGATGTTATTCTGGTTGCTATTAGTTCCTATTGCATTAACACCTTGGTCCCCTGTCATAGAGTAAGAGCCCTCAGTACTAACACAGATGTTCAACAAAATTATGAGGACTGGCCCAAAGCATCTACCATCTGACTAATACTTTTTCTCTCCCCCTTATGAATTGATGTTGCTTAATACTTTGGAATCTCACAGCATTTCAGCCATGGGAAGATGTTTTTATATCCTCTTTTGTACAGGGACCTTGTGGGCTTGGGGGGGTGGTGGTTGGTTTTGGTTTGGCTTTGCATTGCTGTTGTAATTTAAAGGGATTTCTTGCCCCCATGTTGTAAAGGGGCTCCATCAACTCGCAAGCATACTGGCAACGTGTAGCTTGCTTGCACATTTGAAAAGGAGACTTCATTTGGTGGGGGTCTTTTCTGCTAATTGCCAGTGCAGCAAAACTAGCTTTGGATCTGGAAATAGCTCTAAGATGCAGTCACTTTTTCAGAAGGAAAGTGGGGGAGGAGGATCTATATACTGAATGTGGGGGTACTGAGATAGTGCTGGGCTTCAACACAAGCTTGCGTGGCTCTGCCTTTGTTGGGAATAACATCTAGATCCTAGACTTGAGTTACTTGCAGGGTCTGTGCCGTTGTCATCACCCCAGGAGGCAATGCCCCTGGAAGGGGCCAGTCCCCATAACTGATGGAGTGTGGGGGTCCCTTGGCAGAGCACGACCTGTTCCTCTCCCAGCAGACCCCAGTTACAGCCGTGGCTCAGTAACTTGTTCTCTGCAGGACGCCCGGCGATGCCACAGCCGTTACTGACGGCTCCATCCTGGAGCCCAGATGAGAACATTCATTTCACACCACAAACTTCTTCTCTCTCCATTCCCCCTCCCTTCTTTTATCGAGTTTCAATATAATAAACAAAGGGGAGTTATTATTTCATTGGCAGACTCCAGCTAATGCACAAACTGTTTTCAGTACTGGCACACGGAGGGGCTTTTTTCACCATATACTGGCCAGTCAGACCCGTATCAGTCCTAATGGCACAGGGAAATGGAAACTGAGATCTTTTACCTTGAAGAATAGCTGCAATTCATCCACTGCTCAGACTCCCCTCCCCTTTAATTTCTTTTATTGCTAGCACAGCAAAATGAATCATCACAGTGGTATCAAAGGAAATGTTTCCAAGCTGTTGATGTACAGCAAAGGGACAGTTTCATATAACTTAGTATTTAATCTTCCCAGCCCATGGCACCGTGCTTGGTGTGAACGCTTTGGTTCTCATCATGACTTTGGGCAAATTGCTTCACTTCTCCAGGCTTCTGCTGTCTTTTTAGATGGTCCATTTGGATATAAAACTTTTCCATCTGAAAGTCATGAATTTAAGCCTTATTCTTGGCTTGTACCAAAGCCATTCCCAATAGACAGCATTGAAATTAGTACCTCATTAATTGGGACAATTAATTAGCAGCCGAGTCCAGCTCCATCACTCTTTCTGTACTTCAGTCTTTTGCTACAGGTGCCCTTCGCCACGCTGGCCTCTGGACTACAACAGGCCCTTGACTAGTTACAACTGCATGCCATATTTCATGTATTAGGTAAGCTTACTGTGTAAGTGTAGCTGTTTTTAAGCTAATGGTAGAGCATCAGCAGTAGTTAAAGCTGATAAACACTTTATTTCTATTTCTTTTTCCAAGTTAGCTTTTGAGCATTCCTTTCTGGAGCTGAAAAGATACTGAAGTTGTTAAAGCGAGTCCTTGTTACACGTGTTTTAGGAAAGCAGAGGTTTCTGCAGGCAACCCCACAGTGTGAGATCCAGAAGTACCTGCCAACTGCCACGGCAATAACTGGAGTCCCCATCCCAGCAGCTCACCCACGGGGTGTCAATGGGAGAGCACACTCATGGAGGTAAGCTCATGAAGTGCTGCCCCTAATAACCAAGGGGAAAAAAAGGGAAACCGGCTCAATGCATGGGGGTAACTCCACAAGGCAAATCTCTACCCAGAACAAGCCAAGATTCACTTCTGGCTAAAATTCCTGCACTGACACTAACTGCTGCTTGATTAAGTGATTTTTCCTGAGCCCATGATGCAAGGCATTGTCAGAGAAAGGGCTTATGCAAGGCTGCAGCAGTCCCTGCTGAATGCCTGAGCCATTGAATGATCCAGCCCACCGCACACCCCGTCAGGTCTGTTACCTGCCGTCAGCTCCCCCACTGGAAAAACATGCAATTTTCCAAAGGTAAGAACGTCTTGGGTTACTAGGAACACAAATCATTACGAGTAAAACTGCATTCCCAATTTATTGTATTTGTTTTATTTATAATTTTATTACTTATTCCACATTTTCCATATTTTCCATGTGTTTCACGTCATTCTTGTCCATTCAGACCTTTACGTGGAAACTTGGGCTCTTCTCCACTGCCTGATGTGTTGAAGGCTTTATAAACAGCCTTGATTCATTGTTTGCTCCACATGCCTCCATGCTAAGAGCATGCAGCTAATGTTGTGCCTGGTATAAGTGTCAGTGTTCTCTCACTGGGGAGCTAGATGGGATGAGAAGGGAAGAAAAGCAACAATTACTGTGATAAGCAGGTGAAAATAAAGACCATCAAACTGTTCACCTGGCATTCTAACAAAGAACAGTTTGAGCCTGTGCTGATTTGGGTTGTGTTTTCTTTCAGGGTTTGAAGTTGTCAAAGACAGAGATTTTTCCATTGTGCTGCAAGCAAGGCTGAAGACTGGTCAATGTGTTGCACATGCACACCCACATTTACCACCAACTGAATGATGATGAAACCCCTCCCCACGCTGCTTGGATCCTTCCCTGCTCTATGCTTCTGGAAGGTAATACCATGCATTTGTGTGCCCCGTTAATTCACTATTTTCCCTTCTCCTGACTGCACAGGCTTTTCTTTCATGCTCCCATCTGACCACAATCTGTGAGCAAACCAGGAGCATTCAGCAATGCTGCTTTTAGCTGCGCTCTCAAGGCTTTGTGGCAACAGGAACATTAGGTCAATTTGCAAACAGCCTTGGAAAATCTGGTGCAGCATCTCTAATGCTATTGACAGGGCCTGCTTAAACCTGGCATTGCCAGGCTAACAGTTGTCATTCAGCTCTTGAGCACACTTAAACCATCTCATCTATTTTTCATCAGTCTTGCGCCCTTCGCGATAACTCTCTTATCAATTCATGAGGATGTTCATTCTGATTCAGTGCAATCCCATGGGTAACAAGTCACATGTAAACCCAACTAATCCCTCAGGTTGCAAAAGGATGCTCAGTTCCTGCAAAAGAACTCTCAATGGGTTTATTCCAGATTCTACAGTTAAGGTGACTTTTTCCTATCAAGCACTCATAAAACAATGTCCTATTTGATGGCAGAGGAGGGGGCGAGGAGATTGGATTAAAACATCTGGCGAGGTAATTAGATTCACTAAAAAGTTTATGCTCTAAACTGCCCCTACATAATTGATGGCACTGTGGTGATGTGTCACTTCCACTTAGTGGCGGCCGGCAGCGCCTCTCGCCTCGCTGCACCCTGGGCTAACCTTCCCCACTGACCTGCTGCGGTCCCCCTATTAAAGCCGCAATTAGGGGGTGACTCTTAATAGCGAGGTCTTGCTGCAGAGGGGGGGGAAATGTTTCTGTAGCTCACATGCGACAATTAAAGATAATTTAAAATGTAAGTAATTGCACTGGGTTTCTGGAAACTACTGTAGGGGTCTTGTCCCAGGCATCTGACAGGCATGGTGGTGTATTTTGACAAGTTTTGCGCAGATTTCCATTAAATACCAACTTGCAGCTCTATTTTCTTTGGAGTCATTGGTCAGGAAATGGAGATTGCGAAAGGTCAGGCCTGGAAGATTTGGGAGGGGATGGAGGTGTTATTCCTGTTCTGATCCGCGGGGATCTAGGTCCAACGTAAATGCTTCAGTCGCTTGATTCTTGCTTTCTGGGTAGTCTTTAGGCAGGAGAAAGGGAAGGACTGATTGATACACAGAGAAGAGCTTCTGGTGAGTTCCTTTCACCTTTCCCTGCCAGGCAAGCTGGGACCCAATAAGCTAGCTAGAAACGTGGTGAGTCTGAGTTGAGAGACCTGGCAGACATTAATACCACAGCCACCATTGCACTAACCCTCTTACTGTGCAGAACTAGCTCCGAAACTGCAGCTCCTCCAAGGCTTCTGCAAGGTCAGCAAAGTGTGAACATCACGCCGAACGCACCCAGATACTTTCAGAGGTTCAGCAGTCCCTGAAAAGAGCTTTTTTATGATGAAAACAGACTGTCAGATGAGTTTGGATTCTGCCACATGGTCCTAGCGATAATAAGCCATCTGTGTGCACGCGACCTTTCCTCTCCCCATTTTGTCTCCATCACTTTCCTTCCAAGTCCCCTCTCTCTGCTTTGACCTACATTTGAGTAACCCACCAAATGCCAGCAGTGCACATAGCAGAGTTAAATGTGTACTCGGTTACCAACACGCTAACGAACAGCAAGTCCATCCTCAGCAGAGGGAAAAGAAGCATGTGGAAATGGGATGATCCATCAAATGGAAAAGGACCCATCAGGAACATAATCGCCTTCTGCTACACTTGACTGATTGATTGACTGGCTCCTCTCCCAGTTAGTGGGACTTTTGCTCCTAAATTGTTTGGGGTAGGGTTTTAAAAGATGTTTGGTACTGTTTGTATATTATGATGATGATGATAATATATGTATAATAATATATAGTACATATATGGTATATAATATATAGTATTTATATAATATTTAAAAGCTGCACTTTTATTTCCTTTTCCATGGCTGGAATTCTAAGTAATCAAAAGCTAGAGCTTATACCTCTGTATTATAGATACATTCAGTTTGTGCCACTTACGATTAATGTTAACCAAGTGTGTTTGTAAGCAGTTCCAGGATCACGTTCTCTGAAAGCTTTTCCTTTTGTGTAACTTTATATAAGATAAAATAGGAAATAAAAGCTGGGACAGACTCACGCTCATTACTGCTTTCAAGTGGCTGTCTTTCTGTCTGCAGTATTTCAGACGCATTGGTAATACCATGGCAGCTCACCACAAAAACACACTGAGGGACTTCATAAAAACCAGAAAATGAAATTAAAGATGTATAAGAAAAATTAAATAGTAAAAAAAAAAGAGGCGAATTCAGTGAAACACACACTGAAAATGCACGACCACAGAGAAAATGCATCAAACTTTCAAATCATTTTTCTTCCTTTCTAAACCAGAATGATCCCAAACAAGAATATCCCTGAGCCCCTGCTCTCTGTATTTACCCCAGTGTGGTGTTTTTCATGAGGAACTCAAAGAGAAATTACCCTTGAAATGAGAAGAGAGCTGCGGTTCTTTAGTTCATCATGATCCTTCTGCCACGGCTGGATCCTTATGGATGAACCGGAAGGACCAGAAATGGCTTTGGCCTTGGTTTTTGTAACCCAGAACTGCTTTTTTCCTCCTTCTTTCTAATCAAAACGTCCCCGATGTGCTCAGACACAACACGCCACGTGGTGCGGTGACCCAGACAGGGGGAAGAGGGTCTGCGCCCCTGACAAATGCCACCGCGTGGCACCGAGCAGAGACAGGCGCTGCAAAAAGCATTCCTGGGGCCGTTTCCTGGTGCCTCTCCAAGCTGACAGAGGAGGTTTATGTTAACATCACATGGCTGTCTTCGGCTGCGTTTGTTAGCACAGCCCCTTTGGGGAGCTTGCCATGTTGGGCTGCATGGGGAACAGGATGGGGGGGGGGAGAAAAAAGCAACTAAAACATGTATTGGGTTTTAACACCCGCATCTGCCTTGGTAACGCTATCAAACCCTCTGCCCCCATCCAGGCAAAGCCTTTGGAGAACACTTGGAGGGCAGCTTTTAAAACACGTAACGCATAGGAAACCAACACAGTGTAGAGACTTGGCAATGAGGCTGCCGCAAGGAGCCAAGTTGGGCATGGAAAAGAAAATTAAGACAATAAAAGGTCATTGCTAGCCAAGTTTTAAGTGAGTATACAATACATACCTTTTTTTTTCCCCTTCTTTCTGCCTTAGTTATTGGCCAACTTGGCTACGAGCTTATGGAAAACACTGAAGTGGAATTATAATTGGGTGTTTTTTTTTTTCCTCTTTTTGACCAAGCAAAAGTTCTTATAGGCAATAATTTAATTATGGCAAAAGACTAACACAGACACGGGGTTTAGGGATGTATCATCAAAAAAACCCCTCTTTTCTACACCGTACTTTAAACTAAGGCTGGTTCATGGGCACCAGTGATCTAATCCTACTGCTATTTATGATTTTGGGGGATTATTTACGATAAAGTATGTCATAAAGTGGAAAATTACCGGTGCCGATCACAGTTCCAAGCAGGCTCATTTAGAACCGAGTGCTGTAAGTCAATTAGGATAATAAACCTGCCGGAGGGAGGAGGGGAAACCTCCTTGGGATCAGCATTTTCACCCTGCTCCTGGTGTGCTGTAAGGCAGGGATCGACCAGGAGGTGCTGAACAAGTGGCTCCAGTGCCCCCCTTCCACTCGCCATCCGGGTGGCAGCGCGTTCCCGCAGCCTCCTTCCTTGTCCCCAGGATGGCTGCTGAAGAGCGAGCTCCTGGCTGATGTGGGTTGCTCTGTTTCGTACCTACATGTGCCTTGGGTTTTATTCCAGCCTTTTTAGAAGGGCAGAGTTTAAAAAAAAACAATTAAAAGGAAATACAGGATTTTTTCCCCTCGTAAGAGCTGAACTGGAGGCATCCTCCTCCCCTTCTGAAGGCTGTGCGTGTCCTGTCTATAATATCAGAGATCCAGTGAGACATATGACTGAGAAACATGGACAATTCCAACTTGCATCTGCCCAGGCCTGGACCAGACACTTCCTTGGGATAAACAGCTGCATGAACAGCTCATAGACAGCAGCCTCTGTGCACTGAAGTACCCTGATGATGCTGGCGTATTTTGATGCGAGGACACAGACTCTGGATGCACGATGCCAAAGCACAGTCTGGAGAAGTTGGCCTCCTACATGAGAGAAAAGGAGTCAGGAACGGTGTACAGAGGAAAAGAGAAAGATCTGAAGCTGGAAAGCAAAAGGATAAGCCTGACATTAATAGGACGTTTATAAGGTGCAGGTGTAGGCTGTGTTTAAATGAGAACAACAGTTTCCTCTTTGCCACTTGTCCGTTAAAGGAGGCAATTCTTTTTCAAATAGGGCTGATCTTACATTTCTCATATTCTCTTGGAAACGTCCTGCCAAGTGGGATGACTTTTTTGTCTCTAAATAAGCAGAGGTTTCACATTTACCTCTTTGCCATGTTTTTTGGGTGTCTTCTCATGAAAATAAGAATCGAAATTTAATAAAAAAATTAATATCCATTCCTATTTATGCTACGGGAAGATGGGAGGAGGCTGCACCAATGGAAGCAGCAAAATGCCTTCACTTTGGAGAGATTTTTTTTAACACAACACGTTCATGGCCAAATTACCTGGGTAAAGAGAAGGGGATTTCCCCCCAATAATATTTCATAGCAGAGCACAGGTCACTCCAAGCCCCTGTTGGTTGCAAGATGCAAGCGGTGAGCAAATAGGCATGGGTTGTAAGTGGGTGGCATGGTCAGGGTAGCTGTCACACTGCTATGTGCAAACCCATGTACCTGCAGCCCATGAACTTGGCCAGCCCTCTGGGCAGGCTTCAGTGCAAGCTCTTTACTGGTGCTACTGGGGGGGGGGTCACAGCCCAACAAGCCTTGTCAAGCCCCACATGTGTAAGGTGCGTGTGAATCCCTAATTATACTCCTTGGGAAAGACTTAAGTGACCTAACATAGCTAGCACATAAGTCCATTCCACACCATCCAGATGGCATTTGCTGGCTGGCATGACTGGATCTGCGCTGCAGGAGCAGGGAGCTGGATGGAAGGTAAACATGGTGAGTGATGCCAGAGTCACATTGGATGCAGCATGTAATGACTTGATTTGTGACAAAGGCACTGAAGAGCCTGGCTAAGGAATTGTCTCTGCTGATGCTTCATCTTTGTGAGCTCGTATGGAGAAGCAGCTACAGGGGAGACTATCATCCATAGTGGTTCAAGAGCATTCTCCTTGAAGAGAGACAATGGGAGGAAGGGATCGTGTTAGGGAGTCACGTCTGCTCTGTCCCTGCCTGATTGCAGCACCTTTTTTGGCAAGGAAACTCCTTTATTCAGGATTTGTGCAGTGCCTTTTGCACCCTTCTCTTCTGCTCACCTGTTCATCACGCTCCAGCACAGATACCAAGAACTTAAAGCACCAATGCATGTGCATCAATATACTTCTCTCATCACTAAGGAATCTAGCCAGTGCTATCATAGGAAAGCAGGAACAGGATGTGGCAGCTTCTCCTCAGTGACAGGACTGTGTATTCCTGCACTGGTGTCTGCAGAAATGCCATAAAATGCAATTAAAAGAAGAATAGTCCATGCAGAAATTGCAAAGAGAGGAATATGCCTTTTGCTTGCAAACCCATCCCACTGCTCTATCAGCAGTTCTGCTCTTGGTCTTTCTTCCTCAGCCTAGCCCAGACACAACCCACTCACTCATCCTCCAGGCTGATGGGATGCAAAGTCTCATCCAAGCACAGGACCCTCAGAGCATCAGCAGGACGTCCTGCCTGGCCAAAGAATCTGGAAGCTTCTGGCTTTTGCAGGCCATTGTCGTCATCTTAAGCAGCATTAGAAGGAAATGGCTTTAGGGCACTGTCATTACTGTTAGAAAGTATTTGTTGACAGTGCAGTGACTGTGCCATTCTCATGAACCTCAGGCAGGGTTAGATTTGAATGCAAGCTCACCTGCTTTAGTACATATAAGTTGGCCAAATGAGCTGAAAAATGAAGGTCTCAGCATCACCAGGAGCTAGCAGTTGCTTTGCACACAGATTAATAAAGATGGACCCAGCTTAGCTGAGGACAAATGCAATTAAATGTCTGCATACCAGTGTAATTACAAACAGGTTGGTAATTAAACACCATTACTGGTCTGGACCTAAACTTGACAATAGATTGCCAATAGATACACACGCCTTTGCCAATGAGTTACACAATCCTGCACTCCTACAGCTCCCAAGAACCTGCATATTTCCTGCTCACATGGCCCGATGGCATCACCAGGAGGGTGCTCATTTATTCCAGTCAGTGAAAGCAGCACAGACTGGAAGTTTCCCATGCAGGAATGAGATTGATCCATGCGTCATCCTCCACATATGTCACTGCAAGACACATCACTAAATATAGTACTTGGGAATGAACTCGCAAGCAGACTTGACAGCTTTTACTAAAAATCAGGTGTGCATTGGTAACATGCTAATTGCTGGGGCATTTTTTCCCAGCTTTTCCTCCTTGACAGCTCACAAGATGCTAAGTCTCTACCTTCTTCACCCCAGAGAGGAGCTTAAATTCAGTGTAAGGAAAGAAGATAAAGTGAGAAGTTCCCTTTTCCTTCTCAACGAATCCGACCACCAGTGATTTCACCCCAGTCACCAAGCAGATAGCATCAAGATACATGTTGGATCTGAAATCTGGATGAAGGAAAGAGGGACAGACAGATAAATGTCATTATCATAAGGACAGTTAGCTCTCCCCTCCTTTTCCAGTTGGAGGCTGTCCCATGCTGGTGAAAGGCAGGGATGGTGGCGTTTTCAGCCACCAAGCTCATAGAGGGCACTTAAAAAGCAATGAGAGCATCCCCATGTGGAAGCTGTCCTGCTGAAGAGAGGTCCCCAGTGCAGGCAGAGATGAGGTGGACATCACTGGGCTGCCCTCCAAGGGTGTTTCCTTGCAGGCAGCTCCATCACTGCAGGCTGCTGACTCACCCTGACAGCTCAGGATGCTCAGCCTCATCCTCCTCTTAGCAGAAGGCTATTTCTGTCTCCCAAACAACAACAAACAGGAGCAGCTCTGGGGAGGCAGAGTGAGAAACTGCTGCGTGCCATCCCCAAGGGAAGCAAACACGAGGAGGTGATCATCAGCCCCATCTCATGGGGCTTAAACCAAACCCTGCCCAAACCCTATGGGCAAACAGCGATGCTCTGACCACGGGATGACACGATCAGAAAGGCTGGCTGAGATCCTGCAGGGTATTTGGCTGTTGCTGTTTGAGAATGATATTCATTAAGACCTGGAGTCAGGCAAAGCCAATGTGCTCTTCTGCAATGGCTGATATTGAAAGGAGCTGGGGCGGGGGGAAGAAACCTTGGAAAATACAACTTATTTGGCAATGCTGATTAAAAGCAGTTTGAGTTTCATTGTGAAAGGCTCACGGTTGATTGAGTCCTGGTCTCTTCCATCCACATGAGGTTTGTTTTAGTGAGCATGGAGTTATATGAATCTATTAATGATTTTTTCCTGAAGGTTTCCTTATACCCATGCCCGGGTTTTCATACGGCGCTTTCCAGCCACGTGTCTGGAAATGCATCCCAAATTAGTGTCAGCCCTGGTCTGAAGATGGAGAAACTCCAGCAGAGTCTGAGCAAGACAATTCCTAAGCAGCAACGCCAAACCCCTTGATCCTGAAAACACTGGAGCTGGAGCCTGCATAGGCAGGGACAAACACAAAGCATGTGGTTAGCCAGAAGGGAATGACTGACCTGGGGGATGGCTGCTGACCACCGGCAGAGCCTGGCACGGCTCATGCTGCAGCCAGCAAGAGACATCTGCCCTCGTGAGAAGGGCAGCCGCTGGAGCAGGAGGTGCAGGATGACAGCCTGTAAATCCCTGCCTGATGCACTCTCCCGTCACCAGCCCTGGGGTGCTGACTCCAGCCTTGTCCTGGCAAGGAGGAGGAAGAGGACTTTCAGCAGCCTTCAGGGAGGGCACTGCAGCCACTGACATCCCGCAGCCAGCGCTGTGGGGACCCACTGCAACGAAGCCCTGATGGTCACAGGTTTAGAGGCTCCTGGTTTTTTATACACCACCTTGTTTCTTTTCGCCCTCTCTGTTTTAATGGGAAAATCTGGAAAGGTTAAAGCTCAGAGGAGACAAACAGCGAGAATCTTGAGGCAAATCTCTTCAGTCTTTACTTGGGCTGCGGGGGAGTCAAGAGAAAATACATATTGGGGTATGTTAAATTATTAATGTTATATGCTGGGGTATATTAAGTTATTAATACTATGTCTAGGTTGAGATTAATCAGATTCCAGAGACATAGAATATGCCTCCTCAAATATAGATGTGTGGAGGCATGCGTTTAACAAGCAGACTCATGCAAGGAGGACCACAGGGTCCTCATGCTGGACACGCTGCATTCCGGGATGCCTGGCCTTGTATGGTGCTATGGAGAAGGTGTGGGTAATGGCAGATGGCTGGTAGGGGACAGGGCAATGGGGTGAGGCTGGAGCCAGCTGGGGCCCCAGCACTGTATTTCCCTTCCCTGCTGATCCCCAGATGGATCATCCTGCAGGAGCAACACGTGGATCTAATTCTCTAATGCCAGGCCTGGCTGCGCCGTTATCCACATCAATCCCGCAGCCCTGACACCAGCCTTTTCATCATTTCACTGGGGTTTGTAGGGAAGAGGGAGAGATGGGCTCCGCAGCAGGCACGGCTCCCCTCTCCTCGTGGCCTTTATCCTCCCTAATAATCCTCCCTCTGTTTCACGTATCAGCTGATAACATGTGGGTCCTATTTCCCCCACCCTCCCCACATCTGCATGAGATGGCAGACGAAGCCGTCCCATCATCTGAGGCATGTTAGCAACTGCTCTTGATTAAGAAAGAAAAAGCCCTCTGGCTGTAATGACTGCAAGGCTCCGATGGGTTTCCCATGCCATCACCAAATGCCCATTGTGGCTTCAGCTTCAGGCCCTGTGGCGTGTAGCCTTGGGGCTTATCCTTTCCTCCCTTCAAGATTATGGGTCAGTTTCTCACCTGGGGCTCACTAGCACAGGAAAACCCTGCCTTTTAATTATTCTCCCATCTTATTAGGTCTAATTAAATATATATGACTAGTGCTAAATAGTATCAGTGCAATTAGGAATAAATCCGTGTCTTCTGGGGTAGATTTTGAGAGGGGGACAGTGTATCATCCAAAACATTTTTGCATGGAAAAGCTGGGCTTTTGTTTAAAAGAGCAAAAACTAAAACCAGAAAGTCTTCAGTTTGCAAACCAGGAGGGAAAATGAAGCAAAACAATCTCCCTCTTTTGGGGTGGGAATTAACAGAAGTTATTTGGGGTGTGAGGGTGGGATGCAGCAGCAAGAAAAATGGCCTGAGCAAGTGAAGTAACAGAGACAGTGTCAGTCGCACTGGGGCCATTTTCACCATCAGATATTGCTGCCTGATTCCTGCAGTATGAAAACATAAGAAGCCTGAAATAGACCCGTAAGAAGTTTCCTGTTTCTTCAGGATTCCTGCCCTACCTGTTGCCACTGTTGTCCTCCAGGTTCCCAACAAAGGCAGGTGTTGAAATCACACCAATTGGGAACAGCTGGATAGATGGGGAGGGGAACGGGAACACGAACAAGAGGACTCACATCTCCTGAGATCTGGTCCAACAATTCCAGGAGCTTCCAGCACTTCTGGGTGGTTCAGTGGCTGTGAGTCCTTGAAGTTTTTCCTTCCTAAAAAAAACAGATAAGGACAAGTCAGTGCAGGGTTTAGGGCTCAGGACCACGCTTGTCCTGGAATCACCCCCCAGTACCATTCTTCTTCACGCATTCATTTATCTACCAGCTCACTTTGGTGGATGATGGCCCAGATCTCCAGCCTTCCCCTTGCATTGCCACCCATTGAGTGCACATCCACAGGTTTTCTGTGGCTGAAGCTGCTTTGCCACCCTCCCAGCTGTGCACTGGGATCAAGGGGAGGGTGATGCCACCCAGCCCCATGCCAGGGCCCTGGGGTAGGTGTCTGTGCCCCATAGCAGCCCTCGCTAAACCCTCCACCAGGCTGGGAAATCTCAGTTAACCCCGTTAGAAAGCAGGTCCTGCTCGTTGAAGCTGCCACAAAGCAGAGCTTGTGAGAAGTGAAGAGTGAAGAAAAACTGAGAAGACAAATACAGAGGAAGAAAAGATACCGAGAGGGGAGGAGACGGTGAATGGCAAGAAGGGAGTTAATGAGAGCCAGAAACACAAGTTGGAGAAATGTTGATTTTATTTAGCATTAATTGCAGGAAAGAGCCTATAAAGTGTGGTAAAACATTATTAAGTACCACTCTGCAATGCCAGCTTTGTGCCAGGCATCCCTCGGCACAGGTGTATTATTCCTAGTTCCCCAGGTATAAATAAATAATTCCTTTTCCACATCTTTTTTTTTTATGGTGGCATTTCATTATTTTTTATTGCCATATTGTTACGGCTCCAACTGCTCCAGAACACATTTGGCCATCAGCCGGGGAGGGAACACGTGTGCACACGTGTGTACGGATGTGTACATGGGTTGGCACGCCTGGGCTGGGGGCACGGTGAGGTGTTTTGGATCGCAGCATCCCAGGGGAGCATGCAGAGCCTGATCCCAGCACCCACAGGTCAAAACAAGGCCTTACCTGTGATCCAACCTCTGACAACGATGTCCGGGTGAATAGAGGAAGGAAAATCATAGCCATGTTTATAAGGGAAGGGGCATCACATCAGGGAATCACTCCGCAAATCCAGGGGGAACAGCTGTAACAAAGAGGTCATGAGCTTTAAGGTCCCTCCCAACCCAAACCATTCAATGATGCCTGAGAGAGGGATTGCCCTGGGATGGGATGTTCTGGAGGGTACCACAGTGGTTCACGCACCGGTGTCATTGTCAACCCATTTATCTTGATGACAGGGACACAGAGCTGGGGTTTTCCTAAGTTACCCCATCCATCCATGACTCCTGCTTGCATGTAGTGAGATTAGAAAAGAAAACCTGTATTCTACTCCACTTCTAACTCTCTGCTCACGATCTGCCCATATGCTCCTCTCCCAGCATCATTTCACACAGGCTCCGGTACTGGCTCTGTTAGGAACGAGGGCAGATCACATTCTTCCTGAGCAATGTTTGTATCAGCTTTTTGGGGCTTGTTTTATCAAGTCTCTCACTTCTCAGAAGGAGACTCAGCAGGGAGATAAATGCTGGATGCGATTCCTCACAATGCCTCTTGCTTCAGATGAGGCCACCAAAGACGCTGGGGGAAGCAATGATTCCCTGGTAATGCCTCAGTCCAAGCTCTGACCTGGAACCGTGGGCTCTGCAAATACGCATAAATCCTCAGCTCACATCCAAATCACTGCAAGGTTCAGTGAACACGGCAAAACTGCCAGCGAATCTAACCTAAGCTTTAATCCAGCTCCGGCACGATTTATGACCTCAGGTGGAAACCACGCAACGTGATGGTCTCAGCCCCACAGCATAGGATGGTCGCCGGCCCCAGCGTTTGGTGCTGAAGAAGCAGGGATGGAATTAAACAGCACAAACACATCCAAACCCTGTTCATCTTGTGTTGGGTGAAAGTAGCTGACACACCAATCAAACCAGGGCCCTGCTCAAGTCAGAGACAGGAAATGAAACAAATCAAAGAATAATAAGGGCAAGCAAGCAATAAAGTTATCTTTTCTGACTGAAAAGCAGTGATTCACTACCTTCCCCCCTTGGGAACAGCACGTCCCTAAATGCAGAATCCTGCAATAGTGCTATTGTACTACAGGAGGTTTATCATGGCTTTTTAATACTTATTTCCATATCAAAATATTATCACAGATAGTAGGAGACATCATTATTTTTCCCTACCTAAAAAACAAGAGGAAAGAGAGAGGGCTTCAGTCTCAGTGACCCAGTTTCCCAGGGAAGCACTGGTGTCACATCAGCAGGGAAAGATGCTCCTGTTGTTCTACGCTGGCAGAGTTCCCCCTGGCCAGAAGCAGGAATGATTCTCTCTCCAGAGCATTAACAAGAGCATTTCCCCTCATTTCTCTGACCCTCATTATCTATCTACATATTGGCTTGGAAAAACTAACGATGGTAACAGCATAAGAGCCCTATGACATGACCAAGGAGACATGACCGGTGTAGGTATCAATACCACACATCACCGGTAACCTCCACATAATCATTCTCATTCAGCCCTTGAATTTGAGCTTATCTGAGGAAGGGGTGGATGGGG